CGGGCGGCGGCGGAAGGTTCTCCATGCTGCCAGCCTGGGGGGGGTAGCCGGGCAGCTTGGCCCGCGGGCCGCGGGGACCGTCAGACGGCCGAGGACCACCGAGACCAGAGGCTGTGCCGAGCCGATACGCAGCGAGCACCACAAGGCGCGGGCACATAGGGACTTCCCTCGCCCAAGTCAAAGCAGGAGGTAAGGAGATCGAGACCCGACTGAGTAAAAGCAGCTGGTCAAGCTATTTGCGACCCGCGCTTTCGTTTGTAACGCGCGCGTGAGTGTTGTAGGAAACATATGACGTTCAGGGGCAGCGTCAACATGGAAGGCCTCGCCCCGCTCGCCCCAAATAGGACTTGAAGGTTACTCATATCTGTAGGATTTTTCAACGAGTTTATTGAATGTTGTACCACTGCAATGCGTTTTAAAATCAGTTGAAGGCTTAATCCCAGGCGTCAGTTCAGTCTCTTTGCCGTGTCATGACGTAAACTACCCTTATTCTTGAAAACTGAGCGTTTTGCACCGGTGTCGTCTGCTACTACCCAGTCTTCTGCTAGTTGTTGGGGTTGTTCGGTTCAGCAGATGTGAGGTGAAATGGAACTGTGCTACTTCTTTCCTGGCTTTGGCCGGGTCAGCTTCATTCTCTTTTTTGACCTATTAATTTTCCTGAAGTAATTTTTTCAATTTTTCTAGGCTTTGAAATCAAGCCGACTTCGACAAGACTTGAAGATTGCTGGGTGACAAGCCATGGCGATTCACATTCAAAGCCGTGGCCTTAAGGGCTTAAGTCGGTTTCTACTCAATTCTAGTAAGCTTTCCTATACTAGAATCTGTTCATACTATCATCAGCAACAGATATTAAAAAGAGAAGAAGATAACGATATTCTCCCTAACCTCACACCTATGGAATCACTTCATGAAAAGGTATGATTCAAATCTATGATCTAAGCATTAACAGTAGGTGTGTTTTTATACACACTACCTATAAAATCTCTCAGCTTCATTTTTTTTTACTCTTTGTTACTGGTTGGCATTGTTTTTTTTTTTTACTGATCTTTATTTTTCTAGGTCATGCGAGGTGAATTAATGCAAGATGAACACCAGTCACTCGTCATGCAAAGCTTAGAGAAAGTGTACAATGACATAAAGTCATACCAACCTGCAGAATCTTCAGTCTTTGACAGATGGTTTGGTAAAGAGAAAAAAGTGACAGCTCCCAAAGGACTCTACTTGTATGGAGCAGTTGGAGGTGGTAAAACAATGCTCATGGATGTATTTTATAGTTGTTGCCAGGTAAGACCAGATCAGACTTTTGAACACTTCTGCTGTGTAGATCTATTGGATACTTGTTTCCATTATTCTCTCTTAAAATATGAAATGTTTTTTCAATATTTTAGATTGATGGAAAGCGCAGAGTACATTTTAATGCTTTTATGCAAGATGTCCATGCCCGTATTCATGAAGTGAAGAAACACGTTGTGCGGGATCATTCAAGTACAAAACCACAACCATTTGATCCCATCCGACCTGTAGCCAGATCTATCTCTAACCAATCATGGCTGATTTGCTTTGATGAATTTCAAGTAAGTTTACACTCTTACTTTTATTTTCAAAATCTTTCATATGCTTTTACATAACTCAGTGTTAACATTGATACCCTAAGGTAACCGACATAGGAGATGCAATGATTTTGAAACGACTATTTACTGAACTGTTCGATAACGGAGTAGTTGTAGTAGCCACAAGCAATAGAGCTCCTGACGACTTGTACAAGAATGGTTTGCAGCGCTCTAATTTTGTTCCATTTATCCAAGTTTTGAAAGACCATTGCAATGTTCTAAGTCTAACATCAGGCATTGATTATCGACAAAGGTCTACTCCAGGCAAAGAAAAGAATTTCTTTGTGTAAGTAAGATTAGTGGTTAACATACTATATGCTGTCAGTCTAAATGTTATAAAAAAATTGTCTTAAAAATGTTCTTTAACTATTTTTTTAGCAAAACTGAAGTTAACGCAAATGTTGAAATGGACAAAATCTTCAAGTACCTGTGCTCCATGGAAAATGACATTATTCGCCCTCGAACTCTAAATATTATGGGACGCAATGTGCAGTTTAACAAAACCTGCGGCCAGGTTTTGGACTGCACATTCTCTGAGCTATGTGAAAGGGTAAGGGACTTAAAATTTAGTTCAATGTATAATACAGTTTTGAATGAACATGTAAAATTATTGGTATTTATTGTGCTTCATTTCAGCCTCTTGGTGCAAGTGACTATCTTCAACTCTCGCAAGCATTCCACACTATTTTTATTCGAGATGTACCCCAATTGAACTTGAAAAAAAAATCTGAAGCAAGACGATTTATTATGCTAATTGATACTCTTTACGACCAAAGAGTGAGTAAAAAGTTCAAAAAATACCTGTGGATGTTTAATGTGTTAAATGTAAAGTATCAATTTGTCTCGTTTTTCCATTAAGGTGCGGATTGTTGTTAGTGCTGATGCTCCATTGAAATCCATGTTTGTGGCTGATGATGAACCAAGTGACATTGATGACTCTTCCCGAATGCTAATGGACGATTTGGGAATATCTAAGGGATCGGTATGTAGTTATATAAATCACAGTAATTTTATAAAAATCTTCAATAGATTAATATACATGCCACTTCCTTTTTCTTGTAGGAAAATGCTTCTGCAAATATATTTACTGGTTACGAAGAAATGTTTGCTTTTGATAGAACTGTATCTCGGCTAAGTGAAATGCAGTCAGCAGAATATTGGGAAATGTGGGAGAAGCAAAGATAAATTCATTATCATTGCAATTGTAAAATAGTATTAAACACTATCCATATATTTGTATAAACTTCAATTTGTATATATCTGTGTAAAAATGTCTGTGATGTAGGCACTGCTCATCAATATTGTTTCTGTCTTATTTATATCAGAAACTAACAAAGTAAACTGAACAGTTAGGTTGATTTGATGCTTATGTGCCTTAAGATAATTAACCTGCAATTTTATTCTTCTAATTTATTAGATGTTCTCACCAGAACTTCTACGTGTAAATAAAATATTTTTTCAGAAGATGTTTGACTTTCATTTAGACCAAATTTCGTGAGCTTTGTTCAACCCAGGCAACTTACCAATACCATTAAAACAAAACATCAGTGGATTCAAGGAAAATAAATTTGACTGTCTTCATTTCAGTTTTAGTGGTTTTAATTTAAGTCAATATTTCTTTTCAAAACATATGTTTACAATCCTTTGTATCATCACTTCTCCTTATCGTAGTTTGTGAAAAAATTGCAGAGATTCATGCAAAATGTGTCAATGACTGTAAAATTAAGTTATCAGTGCACATACAAGTATGCATATGTATAAATTTAAATACATATACACATGGATACTGCTGTATCCACACGCACAAATATGTATATAATCAGTCAATATCTGAGGCACAAACATCTTCTTTACGTGATCTCCATTTTTCACATACATGACATAAAAGGGATGAATAGTCTACTCTACAGTACCTAATGATGAAGAATACAAAAAAATTAGTTTCTCCCCTACTCAGCAAGACAAGATGACAGAGGAAGTACAAATCAGCTAGACCACCACCTTATTTAACTACAGCATTTTAGGCTATTATATTTATAAACAATATCAATAATGATTAAAACGGAACGGGAGAGTCTGAGCTTACACTGAATTGTACAATTATTTTTGCCCCGACTCATATTTACATGGCACTTGATCTATGTACACACTTGCATTCATTCTCACAGACACACAAAAAACAATAATTTCATCCATCAAATTACAAAAAAAACAAACATAGGAGAGATGAATGATAAACAATATGATCAATGGTAACACAAGGCAATCAAAATGAAATGTAATTATGGTACGAGTAATTGAACATAACAATCAACATAATTATATGGAAGGCATACCCTCCTTTACAGTCTGTTCATCCAGCCTTAAGAACATCTGACAATTTTCTACAAACCAAACAGGCACTGAAACAATGTCATAAAACAATGAATTGTACAAAGTAATAAAATATGGTAAAATAGAATAAAAGCAGTACGATTCCAAGATAAGGTTGTATTGATTTCATTGATTGAATGGTTTATTTATTTACTTATGTGAATGAAGTTTACAAGCATGGTTCTATTAACATTGATGGGGTTGACACTTGAGACAATACACACAACTCCTATGTAAAGTAAAACAAAAACAAACAAAACAAGACATTTGGACATTTTTGAAATGACATGGCGGGAAGTTAATGACCGAAAGCAAGAACAGATCATAACAGTGACAGTATAAAAAGTATTCATTGTTTTTAAAAAACAAAAACGAAATTCAATCGACAGTAAATGTAAGTCAAAGTACATGTTCATCTGCAATCTAAGGTACATGTAAGGTGCCCATCCTTCTCTACATAAGACAGTGAGTAGATAGAATGAAATTACAGTTTGTTCTAAATGCTCAGTTTGAGGACCTGCCTCACTGATTTGCTTGCTTCCAATGTGTTTCATGTCTGCAATTCAACTTAACCTAGCCTAGTCTATGTTACATTTTGCCTAGTTCCTCCTAGATCTCGGCAAGGAGATTCAAAACAGCTTTAATTCATTTAATAGAAGTGTAAAAATGTAAATGTGTCACAGGTTCGATGCAACAGTTCAGTACACTCCACTGTTGAGTGAATGCTTGATCTCACACAAATTGCAGTAAATACTTTGCAATACTTAGATAAATATTAAATACAACCACATTTAGAATATATACACAAACTGGAAGAGAGCGTGACACCAACTTGAATCTCTCACACAACAGTCAACATGCCTTCAGCACACACACACATTTTTATTCACCATACATTCCAATGAGAAACAAGGCATTTATGCTAAATAAGTGATGGATCCCATCCCCCAGCATATGTAGGCATCAGACAGCCACACATCCACAGGCCCATGTCGTGTGATGTTTGGTTAGGAGTGCTTTGACTAGAAGCCTAACGACATGCTGGACAGATGACTGACAGAGCCACAAAACTAAACCAAACCTTACACAAATTTAATGAGGACCAATAATAACATTGCTCTTAACATGTTCCTATATTAAAAGGTTCGTAAAATATGATTGTAACTCAAAACAAACTATAAATTGCACAATAAATCTTTTTGAAGGAAACAAATAACTGTGAAATTCTGTACATACTGTACAAAAATATACATAAAAGGTATGGCAAGCATGTCCAGCAGGGGGAGGATTTCATCATGAGATCACACGCCGGGCTGATGGTGCCTGGCCACTACCAAGCTACCTATTCCATCCATAACTAACTGCATAAATTCCTTATGCAAAATTTTAATATAAGAGGCCCCCATAGGTTCAAAAATCCTGGCCAAATATCAGTGTACGTATTTACAAATTACTTTTAAAAAGTCAACAGGAGGTAATGTTCAAGGACTGATGGGATATCAACCATCGTGTCATTTTTAAAATTTACTAATCATGGGCAGTTGGGGCTTGGGATTGCGCAGGCTGTGGTTGTGACAGAGCCTGTGGCTGTGGTTGTGCTTGAGTCTGTGCTTGAGACTGAGATTGTGCTGGATGGGCCTGAGATTGTCCTGGTTGCTGAGATTGCTCAGACTGTTCACCCTCTACACCATCTGGACGAACCCCAGCTACTAACCCTGGTGCCCGCCACAAGGGCTCCGGTGGTGGGAATCCAGGCGGCCTGTAGACAAAAAGAGAAAAAAAAAGGATTAGCGATATTATTTAACGAAATGAGATACATAACAATATAGCTGATAAAAATTCAACATACCGGAAGGGTCTGTCAGCCGTTGTTCCTTTGTTGTGTGAACGTTGATGGAAAAGAAGATTTCCCTTGAGAGGGAACGACTTCCCACATTCTCCACAGACGAAAGGCCGCTCCCCTGTGTGGCAACGCATATGATTGATGAGATGCTCTTTACGAGTGAAGGGTTTGGAGCAGACGTGGCAGCAATGAGGAGTCTCTCCTGTATGCTGCCGTAGATGGTTCGTCAAATGCTCCTTTCTTGTGAAGGTCTTGGCGCAGAACTCACATCGATGGGGAGATTCGCCTGTGTGGATCCGCACGTGGTTAGTCAGGTGCTCCTTGCGAGTGAACGACTTGGAGCAAAACTGACAGCGGTGCGGAGACTCACCAGTGTGTTGTCGGACATGATTATTTAGGTGTTCTTTTCTTGTAAATGCCTTAGTGCAATACCTGCAAATAGCATAGATAGAAATTAATAGGCGAAGATAAATTCCTCACACTGAAATAACTAGTTCGCTTCAGGCAAGAATAGACCATTCCAAGTCCTCAAAAGATGAGTAACTTATAGTTCAACATCAGCAGTGAACCAGAAACATTGGTTTAAATTTTTGATTACTATGTCAACTGAAGTAAACCTTCAAACATGTTTTAAAGCTACATGTGTTCTTTTAAGATCATACCTAAATGTTCTCACACAAGTAAATATTTTGAGAATAGTTATTTTTGTTCTGTTTTTTCTACATATGCTGTAAAGTGATGGGGAACCCACAAGAAAACAATTTTAAATACAGTAGAGGGAAAAGTGTCAGATAAACACCTCCATGAGCTGTTCATGTGCAACTTAGCATTTCCTTTCCTTCCTGAGAGCTACAGACTCAACGATAAACCATGACACATCAATGTTTTACGAAGATCTGCATTGCAATGTAAGCCAAACAATAAATATTGATAAAAACTGTTACCATATCCAGGCCTACATGATTAATTTACCAATTTCTGTACTCAAATAGATTAAGAACATTAAACATAAACCACACACATTCATTCAAGTAACTTAGCCCATTTCACACTCATCCCAATCTTGACACAAGAACACGAATCAAACATCAAAGAAAACTTTGTGATTCAACTATACTTAGTGATAGATTCATGCCTGAAGCAAACTGCAATTTTAGTGCTTTAGAGGTAAACATGATTTGAGCAGTAGACTTTTAGCTAAATTATCATGATAGCAGTTTAGATGAGATATAAAACTTGAACTTTTCTATAACCAACTAAAGAAAAAAAAATGGATGAAGGGGCTATCTAGTAGTTTACTAAATTATATAAACAGCTAGTAAAGCAAAAAATTAAAAAAATGTAGCGGAAATTATGTTGATATTGCTATCATGCCATAAATACTTTACTCCAAAATGCGTTAGAAAAGACCTGCCCCTTTTCGGCCGGAGGGCCTAGTCGTCATACAACCTTGGACGAATCCTCATTCGTCCAAGATAGAACTTAACAAACCAGATTCAAACTATGACATTTATTGGTCGAAATGGGCGCAGGCGCGACAGCGCGGCCAAGTGCAACCTCCAAATAAGTCTGTGAGCTGCTCTCTCACTATATAGGACTGACCCACCGGCCGGGACAAGAGGCATTTTCTCAATCAGTTCGGAATACAGTAGAAATATGCGAGTTTCCCTACAGCATACAACAAAACAATACAATAATAGTACTATTACTGTAGGACAATATTACACAAAACACAGGTAAATTCGCCCAACCCCCCACGAAGAAAAAATAAGTATTATAACAATACTGTAAGGATATTACATGAAATAAAGCGTTTGTCACACCTCACAAGACAAAATACTTTCTTCAACCTGACTCCTAACATGCAGTATATATAATGTAACCACTCAGTCACAAATTTGTGACAGCTCAAGCTTAAATTTCCAATTTGTAAAACCTATCCACGGCCAAGACCATGAAAAGCACCTGTTCCTTGTAAGGGTTGTGATTTTTATCATATCTAAATATTAATGGTAACGTTAGAAACTACACTCTAATAAAAAAGTAATAATAATGTCTTGAGATAAGAGGATTCAACTTCATCTGAAGTGTTTGTAAAAATCAGCAAATTCAGGCACATTAAATTTTTTTTTTTAAACAAGCACTATGAAATAAAATGTCTCCTTTTCAGAGCTGCCTGATCTGGAGGACAGTTTTTCTACCAACATTTGACAGAAAAGGTACCTAGCAAAAGCATAGCAGAAGACAAAGGAAAATTATACCAGGTTTGGCAGATGCAGGTAACTTTAAGAGGTTATCTGGTACAGCACAAATTTAAATTCGTAAGCACATAATGGAATTACTGTACTGATTGTTAATTCAAACAAAAGATATGCATCACACCAAATGGTATTAGAAATAAATGGAGATTCATTGTTGTACTGATGACATACCTAAAAGCGCTACAGATTCCAAAAAATAGGAAACCAGCAAAACTAAAATAGCTCAGCTGAACCAAAAAATCTGCCTCTATAGTATAAAATAAGGAGAGGTCCTCAGGTCATTTTGTTGGTGCAGGTGGGAGTAGGGCAGGACGTGCAGGATGCATGGGGCAGCCAGGCACTTACTTGCACTTGTGTGGAGTTTCCCCAGTGTGCTGGCGCACATGAATGACAAGATGGTCTTTCCTGGCAAACGCCTTGGGACAGTACTGACAGCGGTACGGGGTCTCACCCGTATGCTTCCTCACGTGAATCACCAGGTGCTCTTTTCTCGAGAATACTTTCGGGCAGTAGCTGCACGGGTGCTCCCTAACATTGCACAAGGAAACCTCATTAAAACCGCACACCAATTACATGGTACGACATGGAGCACACATGATATCGTTCAAGACATGTGAATTTTTTCCACGGTTTTAAAGAGGTTTTCCCAATGCACACTTAATAATACTTACAGTTAAGTCGCATTTTTGATGTAATGCTCTTTTATTAGTTTCATAAGCTTACTTGCCAGAGTGAATGATAAAAATACCAAGAGAAAAGATGCAGACAGCTTAACTTTGTGGAAGTACATTCATCCCTTGAATTACTAATAAACCATAAATATATCAGTTGATGAACATGTTTGATGAACATGTAAGTTAATGTTAAACTAATTAGTAAAATCACAAGTGAATATAAAATGAGTAAGTAAAATAAAGCAGGCCTGGATGAAAAAGTAGAATAGCTAGAACATGTTGAAGATCATGCTATCAGGCTCATGCACAATGAGAAGTTGCACAGTTTCCTTTCATTATTCATGACTTATAATGGCTATTACCACAAAAGGGGGAGGGGGTTTACTAAACAGCAAGAAGCTTAAAGGATTGAAGAGAAGGGAACTAGCAGTTAAGGAGCTGTCCACACCTCCTCCCTTGAGACCTTAATGGAAGAGATGGTTTTGCCAAGACACATGTTAAATGCACATCTCATTAAGGGCAACATACTATAATTTCCTTTTTTCTTAATTATATGTAATTTTTATATCTTAAATGTATTTATGGAAGGAAAAAAAAGGAAAAGGTGTACAATTGAGAGAGTTGGTTAAGACTGAATCACTCTTCAGCATTGGTCTACAAGTTGCCACAAGGATTAATAGAGCCACCAATAAGGCAAACCCAGAAGAAGAGGTGCCCACCCCACTCCACCTGTGCACAGTGGAGCTAAAACATACTTGTACTTAGAAAATTTAGCATATCAAATTTTAACAGAGACGTGTGCCTCTTTATGAAGTAGTGTTTACTAGGAGATGATTGTTTATTATTACACAACTAACAATGCTTAAAATACTTTCTTTACCACGTTACTAAGTTTACTTGAAAAGAGGCGAAAAACCTAACATTTGAGAACCATACACCATTTAAATAAGTAGATATGGCATGGCAACTTGACCTACTTCTTCAGCCTGCCCAACATTGAGGAAGGCAACTACAAACAAAAACTTCACATGCATATCAGTGCAGATTAACATGTAGTTAATTTATCCTTTCTTAGCATTCCTCAGTAGAGAAAATTAGCCACAGTTGTGTGGTTTAGTGTCATGCAGGGTTTAATTCTGGTCATTTATGTGCTCTCTCTCAGTTTTTGTGATAGCAGAAACAAGTCATAAACTCATAGCAACATAAAAAAAAACTGGTCTAAACATATATCTAAACAGATGTTGGCACAAAACTCCTGCCTTTTGAAAAAGCTTTTGAGCAGGTGTTGGCTTGGGGAGCCAAAAGTTAGAGGAGACATGTGCTTTAAGCTGTAAGAGGCTACTAAATTAACATTTTAAAGAAAAGAAGAATCAACTTTATCCTAGAGAAGTGCAGTCTCTTCTCTATTTCACAAAAACAGAGAAAATATGCAAACACTAGCACAACCAAGTAAAATGCCATACAAAAATCCTTTAGGCAAGAGCAAAAATAACTTGAATTTGATCGCTTGCTTAGGTATTGACCCCACTCTATCTATCGAGGTTCGAATAGAGGTCCAAAAACTTGAGAGTACAATAAGCAAGGGAGCGCGGAGAGGGAGGCCGAGTCTAGTGGCAGCGATGCAACATGCTTACTGGCACTTGTGAGGAGTCTCGCCCGTATGCTGACGAATGTGGTTCGTCAGATGGTCCTTGCGCGCAAACGCCTTGGGGCAGTATTGACAGCGGTACGGCGTCTCTCCCGTGTGCGACCGGATGTGAATCACCAGGTGCTCCTTCCGGGAGAACGACTTGCTGCACCCAGGCTCCCTAGCGTTCAGAGGAAAGCCTCGTTAACCCGCCAACATGCCAAGAATCCCTGGCCATCCCTCACCAAACAGCTAGGCTCTCACCAGCAGGACTTCAAAACGACCATACAACTAACCCCCGTTTCATTTTTTCAAGAGAGGAATCCATTCGCGACTTTTTGAATAATTGGCCCTCATCTTTCACCCCCAAACACAATTGATGGGATAAGTGAGGATCCCTTTAAATCTACAAGTGGAAAGCTAGTCTCGGCCCATGCACCACTGCCACAGTAAAAACTTCAAACACTCAAACCACACCACACAGTTAAAATAATCTCACACCTACATTTCATTGTCAAATATAGAACAAGAAAATAAGGCTAAACACGAAATTCAAGTGCACAAATTTTGACCCTTCAACAGCTTTAACTACAAAAGGCAAATAAAAATGCTTTCTTGAAAGTCCAAGCCCATACCCGGTTTTTTATCCACACATCACAGCAGTACTATGCTACGCAAAAAAACCAACATGTTCTCCCAGTCAAATTCCGTAAAGTCAATGGATAGAAAATGAATTACCATACAAGGGTAATGGCTACACCCATTTTAGCGTATCGCAAGTACACAGAAAGGTTAGTACCACAAAGTCTTTTTTTTAAGGTCTTTGCTCTCAGTATGAAAGGAAGCATAAAAAAATTGCAAAGTCCATTGAAGATATTTCCAATGGATACTGGTGGTTTGAGTGTCTATCCAAAGGTACCTAGTGTTGCAAATCTAACAAAGTGGGAACAGCTCTTGTAAAAAAAATTGTTGACACTAATCTCATATTTTTTCTCACTGGAGAGAAAATTGTTATTACAGTGTACTGTGGTTAGTTTGAATTCACCCATCACTTTGTTAATAAATATGAATCAATACTCTAGAACTGAATAAGGACTTTTAGGTACTTCAATTGCCTTCTATTCAGTATAAAATATGGTTCACTGTCGACAGCTATATCCCCCGTATGTTTATTATCTAGGTGAAAAAGTTGAGTTGATGACTTACTGGCACTTGTGCGGCGTCTCTCCGGTGTGCTGGCGGACGTGGTTGACCAGATGATCCTTCCGTGTGAAGGCCTTGGGGCAGTACTGGCACCGGAATGGAGTTTCACCTGTGTGTTGACGCACATGGTTGATCAGGTGTTCTTTCCGAGTGAAAGATTTGGAGCAATATCCACAGCGATGTGGTGACTCGCCAGTGTGCTGACGAACGTGGTTCAACAGGTGTTCTTTACGTGTGAAGGCTTTTGAGCAGAATTCACACCGATGGGGGGTTTCACCTGACACACACAAACGAATTTTTAAGATTGGTCAATCGTAAGGATCTCTTCTCATCACTAACCACACCCTCCCCACCTCTCGGGACAGAAAAGCGGGCAGACACAGACTTGCAAAGCCGGCCAAGCGTTGAGCATGCCAGAAAGCACGTGATTAGCACTATTGCCCTAAATGGCAAAAATGCTGCAGTACCAGTTAAGATTTTGGTTTAGAGCAAATGACGTGACTTTATTGGCATCATGCATAGAAGCATTTGAGCTCCAAGAGGCCATTTTAATTTTGAAGTTAATCAAAAATAGTAATTTATTCAATAAATATTTTGAAAAGACAGAGCAGTCTGGTAAATTTAATTACAAGATTTAAGTCTCAATAACTTAATTTATTTTGGAAGTTGTCCACCAGAGGGACTAAGCAAAATTAACGTTTGCCCAGAAAAAATGACTATGCTGCCAAATTTCAGGTTATGACCTGATGGGACAGCTGAATGAGATTGAAAGCATTTCTGCACATCCACCTCTTTCAGAGATATGGACATACAAAAGAAAGCTAAGGAAAGCCACTTGAAAGAGTCCCAATCCCTCTTGTGTTAAACAAGCAGGTAGCATAGTGTGTGGCTGGGCTCATTTGCTATGTTTACCTGTATGAAGTCGGGTGTGGATAGTAAGATGGTCCTTACGAGAGAATTTCTTGGGACAGTACTCACACTGATGCGGCGTTTCACCTATAAAGTGTACCACGCCATGTCAGCTCTAATAGGGGCCTTGTCAGGACGACTGGCGAGTCTTTTAACCACATTCTGTGGCCTAACTAAGTGATGACTAATGGTTCATATAACAATAAATATCTCGACACAGACCACAAATCAGTAAGAGGCACCCAGCATTTACCTGTGTGTTGACGCGTGTGGATAATGAGGTGTTCCTTACGAGAAAATTTCTTGGGGCAATATTCGCACTGATGAGGCATCTCACCTAAAATATTACAGCCGTTATTTCAGGTTATAGAAATGGCTGATAGCCACATTTTGAGTCTAAGAGAGCTGAGGGCCACAACACACAGCTAAAACTAGTTTTAAACCCAGAAAAACTTAAAAAGGGACAATGCTTAACCTAGTAATGATTCTGGCACGCTCAACTTGCTTTAAAGACGGCATTGAAATTTACCTGTGTGCAGACGGGTGTGAATAACAAGGTGTTCCTTACGAGAGAATTTCTTGGGACAGTATTCACACTGGTGCGGCATTTCACCTACAAGGCATCATGCTCAGTGTTACTACCTGCCCTCAAATTTTGACCTAATTTTAATGAGGTAGGTCAAATCTCCCTTCAATGCACGCCACTTAATACACTTTAATACCAGTTTTGGAATATTAAAGATGGCCAAAGTTAGCATTATATTTCAATACCGTTAATGCGCATTCATAGGAAAAGCACAGCATATGGCCCAAAAGGCCTTACAAAGCTCAAGAGAACCAGAAAGAACGGCACATCTTAGTGTGGTTACCTGTGTGAAGACGCGTGTGGATAATTTGATGCTCCTTACGAGCAAATTTCTTGGGACAGTATTCACAGTGGTACGGCATTTCACCTACGCATGCCACCATTTGTTAAATTTAGGAACCATCAGAAAACTAAATTCTGATTAAAGTCACCAGTAACATTATGTGAAACTAATCTTTTAATATTAAAAGATGCAATACAAGATGAATTGCATCTTAAGAAATGTTAACTTAAATATTTGTCTTGCTATATTTACCTGTGTGCATCCGTGTGTGGATCACAAGGTGTTCCTTACGAGCGAATTTCTTGGGGCAGTATTCGCAATGGTGTGGAGTTTCACCTAAGGGGCACCATGGAGGGGCATTAGATAAAACGGCCACACTATGTGTGATGCCATAAGATAACAAAATCCACATCTCTCCCTTACATTTTAAATAACAACTAATTTTGGAATTAATCAGAAAATTATATAAGAAAAAATTGGTCCTGGAAATTTGTGTGTGTCGTTTTTACCTGTGTGATGTCTGGTATGGATTATAAGATGCTCCTTACGAGCAAATTTCTTGGGGCAGTATTCGCAATGGTGCGGTGTTTCACCTAAGGAGGTGAACATTAGTTCAGATTAGAAATAGCCATTAAGTAGTTAGCTTAGCTTCCCACATATATTGATATATTGATAAATATATATGTATATAATTCAATTTGAAAATGAACTACATAACACACAGCTTCAATAGAACTACTTCCCCACTACAAAAGGTCTACACAATAGAGCCTTAGCATTGCATTATGCATTACCTGTGTGTAGACGGGTGTGAATCAATAGGTGTTCCTTACGGGAGAATTTCTTGGGGCAGTATTCACAATGGTGCGGCGTTTCACCTACACAATCATGATTCTAAATTAGGACTTGACAGCTTTGGCTATGGTTAAAATTTTAGTGAGTTCTTTTCCAGGGACCATGTACGTGTGACTGAAAGCTAAAAAGTTACATGATGCACACAACAAGTTACCTGTGTGCAGGCGGGTGTGGATAATTAGGTGCTCCTTTCGAGAGAACCTCTTGGAACAGAGTTGGCATTGGTGCGGCATCTCACCTACACACAAGTCAGTGCCGCCAATCACCTATCAATCTGAGCTCACCCCACAGCTAACTCACACTTTGTGCCATTCCTTCTGGTAACAGTGCACACACCCAACGCCACATGTTCTAATGCCTATGCAAACTTTTGCCCAGCAGAACAAAAGTAAAGTGGAAGCAGTACACATGAACAAGGGATTGTGTAAATGTAAAAATGGATGACATGACTAATAGTATATCTGAGGAAGTCATTGTTAAGCAAGTGTAGGCCTAATAAAACTCAAACCAATGTGGGGTGAGCAGGTTGGATTTTAAGTAAATTCCTGATGTAGACATGGGACAGCAATGCTAAGTTAGTAGTAGTCTGATTTCAGGTAGATAGTGTAAGTAGTTACTTTAAATGGATAACATTTTTAAAAATAATTGACCAAAAAAAGCCCCTTTACTTGGCTGTTAGTGAAAAAAAAAAAAAAGGATGAGTACCTGTACTTCTATTACAAAGGTAAGTTAAGGCTGTACAAGTCCTGTTCTTTTAGATAATTTTTTTTTTTTTTAATGTCAAAGATATTTTTTTCAACTAAATTGTGAAGAAAAATGCAAGAGTTGATAGGGATCAAAATCAGAATCATACAGGACACACATGTTCCCGCTTGAAGGTCTTAAGGGTCTTAAGGGAGAGAGTGTCTTAAAACCACAAAATGGGTTGTGGGCAACCTGAATGTATTAACAAAATGACTTTCTCAGAGTTCCTTCCTATAAAACCTATGCACAGCTGACTGGATTTACCAAAATGTAGGCTTGATTTTTAATATCTAATATACAAAAAAGTACTACCGATATGGCATAAATCAATATATAGAAGGAATAGCTTGTTAGAAAATAAAACTAGGATTCCTTCCTAGTTATAGTTTGTTTGAGAGCATTTCTGATTAATCAAGCTACGCTTAAAACCACGTAGTTTATGTAATTTTAGCTCCCCCTGTACCAAGAGGCACGAAATACAAACAGGGCTACAAATGAAGCAATTTGAAGAAAGAAAGGATATTGATTTCTATGCCAATCCAAAGATAAACTACATATTAACTTTGAAGTATTGGGAACTATGACTCAAGACTAAAGCCTATATTTCCGTAAATACAGACAGCATTCAACCACAAGGGCTGAAATAGTCAAAATTATTGTGAAACTTCTGGAAAAAACAAAAGCCTTAGAAGAAGTTTCTCAAGAAATGGACGTTCCATTACCTGTGTGCTGCCGGACGTGGTTCAAAAGATGTTCCTTACGGGTGAACTTTTTCCCACAGAGATCACATTGATGCGGCGTCTCACCTACAAGGGGACAGAAATGGCCGATTCGCCTTTAGTATGTGCTGAATTTCTGATGTCAACCTACTGCCAGTTATAACAAATCTTATTTTATGATGTATACAGATCTGATACTTGCGCAAGTTGATGATGCCAGAGCATGATATATAGGGGGTAAATCTAGTCCTCAGAGAAAGGTACTCATTTGACTTTCTCTCCTAATGGACCAGTATACTTACCTATGTTGAAGAACCACCAAAGAACAGCAAGGAGATGGTGTTTGCAAATAAATACTTAGCATGCTACAACTACTTTGAGCCACAAATGTAATTAGGATATCAGAAAACGTTATGAACCAAGAATCATTACTTTGAGAGTTTAAGTTTACAATTCTTTTGGATGTGTCAATATAGGTAAGAAGAAACCATAATAATAAATACATTCATGGCTAAGACACACCACAGCAAGAATTTCCAAAGAGAAAAGATAGGAATGCATCTTTCGGCGCAAAGACAAGCACCAGAATGAAACATAAGAAGCACTGAAGCAAACATGCAAAGCTTTTGAGGTGGGGAATTTCAACTCTTTTCACCCAACTGACTGTTGCGTACGTACCAGTGTGCCACATGATGTGGCTCGTGAAGTGTTCTTTTCTTACAAAAGTCTTGCCACAGGTTTCACAGCGAAAAGGGGTCTCATTGGTGTGAGTGCACATGTGGTTCACGAGATGCTCCTTCCGAGTGAATTTCTTGTCACAGACCTACCCACCATGCGGGACAGAAACAAGAACAAGCGAACAATAATGAGCTGATCATACATACCAGAATGCCACATGATGTGATTCGTGAAGTGTTCCTTCCGAGAGAACTGTTTGTTGCAGATTTCACAACGAAAGGGCGTCTCATGCGTATGCGAGATCATGTGATTATTCAGGTGCTCTTTCCGAATGAACTTCTTACCACAGACCTAATGGACCAAAGAGATGAATCTCACTCAGTAGAGTATAACAATATGGACAGAGCAGAAGTTTTGATAAAGCACCATTCCAGGATACCCACTGAATTTTAGATAACTAAACTGAACTAGATTGGATTGAATATCAAAGTTTACATGGATAGTCCCTTTGAGGTGCTTCAAGACCAATTTAAGTTGGAAGGGATCTCTAATTTAATGCACACAATTCTTTGATTTCCCGTGCTCTTAACTAGTTTCCCAAACTTCAAAAGCCAGACAGAGAGAGAATACTTCAGTTGTCAAGAGCTTAACAGGTTTCAATGAGTTCCAAATCCATTAAAATTAGTTTGAATTTAGTTCTGTGGAGTGTCCAAAGTCAATAGCCAACACAAATACATTCTTTATAATAGGAGTTCAAAACGGAACTGCACCTGTCTCATAACCAAGCCCACGAAAGACAGCCCATGTTGGAATAATTTGAGATCAAGTCAATACAATCACTTTACTGTTTGACAAGGCATATTAAATGCTCAAGTAGTTGGGCTGAGCGTCTCAAACCCATCAGCATTAAGAAAATCAAAAAGTCAAAAGAAGATATGAAATTGAGTATGTAATCCAATGAGTAATTGGATGTAATTGATATTAGAATTATTGTAATATTATAGCACTAGAAAGTGATCACAAACTACTAATTGTTTATTAAGGTTCTCTTCAAATCGTCACATGGAAATTTGTTATTTTTGTAAAACAAAGTTTTAAAAACATTGTTGAAATGTGGACAAATGGAAAGAGAGAAAAAGATAGTACCTGACATGAATGAGGAGTTTCACCAGTGTGCCACATGACATGGTTCATGAAGTGCTCCTTCCTTGTGAAAGATTTCTTGCAAATATCACAGCGGTGTGGAGTTTCCCCAGTGTGCTTGCGCACATGGTTAACCATATGTTCTTTTCTAGTAAATGATTTTGCACAGTATTGACAGCGATATGGAGTCTCTCCTAAAATATAGAATTTGTATTTTAATGTTAGAATTACAATTTAATAAAAACTGGAGTATAATATGATAGTATCCAATTTAAGATAGTCGATTAGATTCACATACCTGTGTGACATCTGGTGTGATTGTCTAGATGCTCCTTCCGGGCAAATGACTTGCCACACACAGGGCACGCATAAGGTTTTTCTGTAGAATGTCTCTTCATGTGCCGTTCTAATGATGGTGCATTAGCAAACACATGGAAACACACGGAACATGTATACATGCTTCCTCCTAGATGACATTTTCCATGCCTGGTCAGCTCTGCAGCACATGAGAATGCCTTGCCACATACCTACAAAATAAATAAAAGAATTCACAGATGAGAATCAAAACTAAATAAAAAACACAAACAATAATTGAATTAGATAGAATCAAAGTTGCATTTACCTGGCAAGTGAATGGTTTACGTTCTGTATGGTAACGGCGATGGACAATTAGTTGATAGCGGAAAGGAAACATTTTGCCACAAACATCACAAGCATGAGTGACAGCTGAGGCAAGTGCTGAAGGGGAGGTTGACCCAGATACACCTTCCCCAGCTTCATTTAATGTTTTGACCATTACACCATTTTGCAATACAGCTGTAAAGATATAATAAATCTTACATGAAATAAATCTGAAGAAAAAATGATAAAATAGAACAGAAAGAGCTCAATGTAGTCAGTACCTGGCTCGGCGTGCCGTGCTGCAGTTATAGCAGCTGCTGCAGGTGGTTGTGGTTGTGAGGTAGTAGTAGTGACAGTGGTAGAATTGGTAGGTTGCCCAGCTGTTACCATTTCATTTTGAAGTTTACCAAACACTTCATGATAGGCTAAGAGCTGATTAATATCTTCAACATTGACTTTATACATATTTTGAACCATTTCTACACCCAATGTTTTAGCAAGTTCTTGCTCTCCATTGGGGGTAGTTATTTTGAGAATGCTTCCATCTACAGTTCTAAGGTCCATCATGTGTCCTTTTATTTCTTGCATAGGGAAGCTAAGAAAAAAAAATTGTGGACAAATTAGACTTAAGTATGTGGTGTTAATAACATACAACAAATAGTGAATATGATACCAACCCCGACATAATTAATCTTTGGTCCTTATGACCACTAGCACCAGCCTTACTGGCTTCATGTTTAATGTCTGCAGCACTCACTGCCTGAGCACCAGCTGCAACATGAACTACTGCAACAGGGTGGGCTGTGGGATGGCCCGACCCATGTGCAGCATGGGCAGCATGCACTGTGACATGAGCTGCGGGATGTGCAGCTGGGTGCACGGAATGCGGAGGTTGATCCATTTGTGTGCCAACCTAGCAAATTAAAAGAAAAAACATACCCATATAAGAATTCTGCTGAACTAAAGAAACGCAAAAATGCAAAACAAAGCAGGGAAAAAAAGGGTATTCACCCTTACGTCTGAAGTGGACTGAACAACTTGAGCAGCCTGAGCAGCCTGAACAGCTTGAGCAGCAGCTTGTTGAGCGGCTTGTTGCTGAGCTACAGCTTGTTGAACTGGATGCATGCTTGTTGTTGTGTCAGTTGTGGCCATAGCGTTACGCACCAAAAGCTGTAAGCAGCAAATACGATAGAGTATAGGCGTTTTAGAGGCAAAAGCAACCTAATTTTTAGGATCAATTTAGAGAACAATGACTATCAAACTTACTTGATGCGCAGCGTGGCTTGGCAACCCTCTCGCTCCAGTTCCCCGCTTGTCTTTGCTTGCGTCAAGGGGAACAGGTATTGTCAGTTGAGTGGGAGCTTGATGCGACTGGGACTGCTGCTGAGGTAGTGTCGTAGCACCTAAGCTCAACTGTTGAGGTTGGCTTAGTGTCGGTACTCCCCCAGAAGCTGTCGAAATCGCAGGGACACCACCAGGTAACTGCACAACAAGAAAAAAACAGGAGTTTGACTTTGTTTAAACAAAAGTAACAAAGAAAACATAATATAAAGTTCTACATAATTATTGTGATAGAAGAAAATATTTTACCACTATCTAAGTAAGGGTGAAGCAATAACTACGAGAAACACATTATTTTGTACAATTTAAGAGAGAAGAGTGCAATTCATGAAACATCTAAGCATGCATGTAACTAAAACGAGTATATTCAATTATTAGGTTTTTTGAATTGAGATAGATAAGCCCCTTGCATATCAGTGGAATTGATAACAAGAATGACTCATGAAATTCTCTACTTAAAACAAGTAAGGTTTTTGTGTGTAGAGATAGTGGGCAAAATGAAACCCCATGAAACATTAAACCATGATTAGAACACAGTGCAACAAAGAAAAGATGCTAACAAAATACTATTGACAAGAAATAGCATGTTTCAGATACATTCAAGAAAAAAAGATCAAACTAAACTAATGTACTCAAATTGACCAGTCAGTTCCCATCACCCGAACTGATAATGTTGTATCTATCTTTCAATAACCAAGTACAGTGTTGGCTACAATAATTTAAAAAAAAAAAAAAAAAAAAAAAAAAGAGAACATAAAAAAAGACTACAGAACAACAAAAGGAGGAAAAACAACAGAGTGAGAAAGCAGAACCAGACCAAAACAAGGTATAGAGAACAAACTCACTGTGGAGAGCCAGCCTCACTCAAGAGATCTGTATGCACGCGGAACCAGAGAACACATCAGTTAGTGCCGTCACTCAAATATAAGTTACACTAATAGATAGATAGATGAACAACTAAATCCCTCCAACTGAGTGGTAGTTGTAAATAAAGATATTACTCTCAAAGATTTAAGTTAGTTGACAGCATAACTCTGAATTTGAAAATGTTGACTAAAAACACTTTTATTTTTTTAAATATGATCAGATAAGATATGCTCAACCCACCTGTGGGATTTGTCCAGGGAATAGGTTTGTAAGCACCCAGTACTTAGCAATGGGACCCATGCGCAGGTCTGTTGGACCTCCAGACTGCCGTGCGGTGCCATCCTGTAGAGACAAACAGCACATACATATATCAGATGTTGGACCCTAAATTCATCTTAGAAGAAACATCTAAAACTACAGGGGGGAAAAAAATACAGAATATTAAAGAGGTTAATAAAGACAATAAAAATGTTAGTGGTCAAATGAAAAAATAATCTAAATTGGACATTTTGACGCAAAAAATAAGACTATAACAGAAAGAAAGGACAATGGGACATAAGCAAGATAAGATTAGAAGCAATAAGTTCAAACAAAATTCAGCAGCAGACAACACATAGGAGCTCTCCATGAAAGAAAGGCTTTTCTGCAGGTGTATGCATATAGGGTTATGTGGTGGAAATGATCTGCAGATTTAAGGACAATAAAAAAAAAGCAAAAAAATAAAATAAGAAATAAAAGAAGTTCTAATTTAATATGAAAACAATCCCCACACCACCTCAAAAAAGGAAGAACTTTCGACTAAAGTGGAACCACTAATCAAGGCCATGATAAGGATGAGGGGTGGGAGGATAAGTCAAATTACAATATAGATAAATTATATGAGACCTCTGAGGTGGGCGCTGATGTGGTTGGAACCACAGCATGATGCTCTGTGTTCATCTTGTTAGATGTTGACCAAGAACATATCGAATATTTTAATTAATATCACCGATCTAAAATGTTTTCCAACTTCTTCCACATTCCTGTAACAAATAATGAAGACCATAAGCTACAAAGCACCTTTTAAAGGTTTTGTTTGACAGCTTACAAGTTTTAACTGATCTAATACTTATAACTTTGGTTAAGGGAAGGCATGTGTAATAGAAGATATAGATAATATTACTTGTTAAAAGTTACTTTAAATGTCAAATTTTAGAGACTAAGAGTAATTGGGTATGTTTTAAGGCAACCACACATTGTTTTCAATGGAAAACTGATTAAAAGTGAATTTAAATTTTGTTGCCCATAACTACTTCAAAAAATCAATACTTTCTGTTCTATAGTCGCTAAAGTGTCTTAGAGGCATATTTTTTTAAAAGTAAATTAACAAAAACAGAGGACTTAATACATAGCAAATATCATTAAAATGAGGCATAACCTCCACCATCGGTAGAGTCGGTTCCTAACATCCTGAAGAGAAAGCCATTAAGTACCTAGTAGCCATGGCAGTGTCAGAGTATGGTGAAAAGGAATTAACATAAATTGTTTTGGGATTTAAAAGCAGATCACGCACACATAAAGCTAAAACATAAAGCAGCTAGCAGCTCTTTCATGGGGCTAAAGTCGGATATGGGGAACTCGGATACATCTCGTCTCTCGTCTCGCACCTGCCAACTAAAATAGAAGGGTCGGACGAACTGAGGCGCCCCCGGATATTAGAAGCAGCGGTAGCACCGAATTTACGGAAATCGGTGATCAAGTAACCATCTTCAGTTTGTAAACTGTGAATAAATGCACGGGAGGACAAGCGGCGGGGTGCGGTGGGGGTTATTTTGACAGAAAGCTGGCGAGAAGGGAGAGGAGACGCGCGGCGAGGCGAGGCGAGGGCGGGCGGACGGGTGGATGGCGTTGGTGGCCTCCGAGGTGACAGTACGCACGCCCCCAACCTCCGCGCTCCCCTCCGGCGTTCACCTCTGCAGCGAACTGGTCCAAAGCACTAACCTTAACCCACTAGAAGCACCGCGAAACAAATAAGTCTGTTTAGAGCGCCTACAAGGACAAATTAAGGTCTATACAAGCCAAGAAATAACGAACAGGTTACCTGTCATGGCGTCGCGGGCGAAGATTCCCAAGCCAAACACAATGCAGGATGGCCTGTGGCTTGGTTCACATCAAACAGGAGAAATGGAACTTGGATTCGATGTAAACATGATCAGTTTATGTTGCAGACACAAATTTACACCACTAGGACCAATAAAAACAAGTAAAACTAGGCAAAAACATAACTCAAATAACACAAGTGCATCGATCTATTGATACACTACTCTCACTACGCTCACAAACACGGCCCTCTGGACACGACAGCGTGGTATGCGCTCCCGGTCGTTTCCTGGGGTTTGGCGGTTTCACTTGACTAGAAGGATTTACCTCCTCATTCGGCTCTTAGGGGGGTCGAAAATACTCAAAAATTTCACAACATACCCTAAAAATTACACCACAGTGAATTGCGCGTCGCTGTTCCACAAGCAAAGTAAAAATTTCCCCGAAAATTGCTCCGAACTGATTCTCAACACCACCGCTAGGGAGCGTTGGCGTCCATGCGTCTGTATAGTCCGCTTGCGCGCCCATGGCAGCTTTGGCGGCATAATTGTAGGCTGCATGTAAGGAATTCGGAGGAGAAACCCCGTCTACTGTACACGCCAGGAGGCCGTCCCTCGCATTTGATGCGGGACGCTAGCGGTGACGCCGGCCTACGTGGCAGGGCGGGGGAAATGGAGGGAAGGGCATGGCTACTTGGACTTTTGGTCGGTCGTCGGTCCGGTCGACTCCTTGAACGCCACCGGCAAGGCAGCCTTTCATCAGAGCTGCGGGTTGCGGCTGCGCCTTCGCACTTGCGCAGTGCGACTGGTGCATGTGCATGTTCATGTTGCCAGTCAGCTTGAAAAGGGTACGCCTAAATGGCGGTTCAAAACTCCAAAAGTTAAAAAAAAAAAAAAAAATCAGCCTCGTTTCATCTTTTGCGGTCTTCTCCCCCACCCCGTTCCCCACGCCCTTCCTCGGCGGGAATGCCACCGCCAACGCACTTATTGAACTTTTAGGTTCATCTTCATTTGGAAAGTGTGAAATAATTAACTGTTACAATAGATCAACATTAAACATCATACAAGTTCCCTATCTTATTTGATGAGGATCTTACAGAAAACACTTCTCTTTAATTATACTTGCCATTAATCTTTTTGGAGAGAAATCTTAAGATTTCTGAGATGTTGTTAATTTGTGCACTCTGTCCCACTGTTTCAAGTTCTCTTGGCTCGATAAGACACTCATGTGGTGAATTCAAAGAAGGGATGAATAAAACTATATAGATAGATAATGTTATAATTTATTTTCTCACCAAACACAATATCATCACATCCTAGCACTGAACATTTATCCAATCTGAAGGTAGAATATACATACCAACTAGAACATTAGACAAAAAAGAGACAAAAAAAGAACAAACACATAACAATCCAATTTTTTTTCCGGTTGAGAATGGAGATCTTTGGGACTTAACTCCAAAGGCAATACAAAGATGTTTAATTTAATTTTAGCTTGAAGATAAATGCTCAAATTTTTAGGGGAAATGAATGAGTTAATAATGTATGTACAAGTATGTAATAACCAGTTGACAAGATGTTTGAAAAAAATGCTACAGAGCCGTTGAATGGAAGTTAGTTTAACCATGACTGCATCCCTCACCTACAATCGGGACGAAATGCTTTAATGCAGTTGCTTGTAAGAGTGCAACAAACTGAAAATTACCCTGATTAAATTATACCCTCCTGGCTGGTATGCAATTTAAGCATATAACCAACGTTAGTAACAAAACAAAACACAATATGGAGGTTAAATTAAATAGGCCAACAAAAGGCATTGAACTATTATAATCATGCGACAATCCCTCTTCAGAAAAAAGTGCTTAGAAGTAAGATGCAAAGGTCTTCCAGAAATAGCTTGACCAATGCAGGATTCATCATGTAAAAAATAAGTACCCCTAATCAAAAAAATTTGCCAGTCGAAAGTGTCTATATCACGTTCTGCTTAATACTTAGCATACCAGATTTAATTAGATTACAATATGAAGATCAAAATCATGTAAGCTTCTTTGCCTTCTGATATAAAGTATCCACAACTTTTCCCATACTGTGAATAGTTTCAAGAGCCATTTCATAGGTTTTATCGACAGGCCTCTCTTCAAACACAATGAGAACACCTTCACCCTGATCTAAGATTCCTTGGAACTTCTTGTCCAAAATCATCTGAGAAAGCTTCTTTTCAACCTGCACCATGGGGAGCTTGATGCACTTGGCGACATGCTCAACTTCAACTCGTGAATATGGCTCAATGATGCGGCACAAATTCTGCTCCAGCATGTTATCATAGAGAGTGCCAAGATGAGCACAGACAATTACATCCTCTTCCAGCTCAGGGCGATACATCTTGAGAGCTTGTTGAAAATCAGCCAAAGACCTCTTGTGACTTGCTTGTGCAACTGCTTTCATTGCTTCAATGTCCTTACCAGCATACTTGATAGCTAGTTTGCCGCTGACAATTTGTTGCACGTCTTCGGGTGAGTTCAGCATGATTTTTGACAGCAACATATACTTCAATGCAGTAAGGGTCTTTGAGCTCTCCACACTGTCATAGCCTTCAAAAGCCTCATAGAAATATGAGTACGCAGTCTTGAAATCCCTTTCATCAGCTGCATGAAGGATACCAGACTGGAGATCAAGTGCAGCTTGCATTTTAGGAGGACAATAGATGGAGTTGGCAGTGGTCCGAGCAGAGGTGAGTGCTGCTCTAGCTTTCGATAAATTGCTGAGAGCATGGTATGTCTTACTCTCTAACAAGAGGACTTCAACCAGAAGATTCTTGTCATCCAACTTCTTCAGTTCTCGGAGGAGATTTGAGCCTAATTGCAAGGCTTCTGCGAACATGCCAGTGTCGAAATAGAGTGCAATGAGTCTTGCCTCCAGTGACTGTCTCAAGAAGGTCCTCCGCTCTTCTTTGGCCCATTCGATACATTCCTTGCATAGCTGTACTTCGATACCAATACCGGCTTCTAGATCGAGGAAGAAATCCACCAAAGAGCGGACAAGTTTAGCAGCCTTAGCCTTACTTATCTGACTCAGAAAGGGCCTTGTGGCCTTGATGAGGTCAGCGAGTTCGTTGGCCTTGCCTTCTTTCTTGTAACGCTCGCCCAATTCAAGGATATCTTGCTCCTTTTCACGGATTTTGTCCTCTTCTTCATCGTCGCCGATGATAGAAAGGTTTGTGTTTGGATTTGACACGGATTGAGCTCGCTCAAACAACATTGCGCCCGCCATCTTTGTTAGAACCGCTCCGTCATCAATGAACTGCGCGAATGCGAATGGTGACGGCCGGCTCTTTCTTTTGCTCCAACGACTACTTGGCTGTAAGAGAGAACTGTTTTTCTGTTCGGCCAGGTTCTGAAACACTCTTTTCAAATTGCGATTTTACTTTTCTTTCAATTTTATTAATGGTTCTAATCAAATAAAAATAGGAGTAAAGAAGACTTGTGTTGTCTTTAACCCAGAAGTCGAAGATGGGAGGGTTGAAGAGTGAAAATAGAAAATAGCTGAAAGGGGAAGAAGTGAAAGGGGTGCGGGGAAGGGAGGGAAAGGTCAAAAATATCAACAGCCGATCCATTAGCAGAAGAAACCGTCTCGAATTGGAGAAAATGGACTTATTCATGTCATCGTCGTGCGTTTAAATTTCTTGGATATCCTTGATTGACCACATTTACTGCCATGCTTCAATTTAATAATTCTTCAAGATGTAATTGTCTCTAGGGGAAAAATAGCTAACCTAAGAAATTTCCATCACAAGACCATAGGAAGTAAGTTCTTGTTGTTTTCTGATATATTTCCTTCTATTTTGCATAGTATTAGAGCTGTATTATAATCTCTCCTAACATCACTAGACTGGACTGTCCCTTCTCAAAATTTTAGACTGTTTTAGTACAGTTGTTTCTGAAATGTTCTGTGAAAGCTGCCTTAGTAAAATATTAGGAGGAATAATGGGTGGACGCTCAAAAAAATTACATCTGACAGGGAGGAATTGCCTTACATTTGTTACAGATTCTTTTTAAATATCAGAAGCGATGCCATCAACAGCCAATCTTGAGGCCAGGTCCCTCATGGATGACGTACAAACAGTCCCTGAAATCATCTCTGCAAAACAACCAAAAACAGGAGAGAAGGCAGAAAAACCAAATCTGAAAGATGTCGAGAATAATTTTGTTGGTCTCTCGACCAAAGAGGCTTTAAGTCAACTCTACACTGATATTCATGATCTCCTTCGTGAACAACTTTTGGCCAAGGAACATCAGTAAGATTTATATAGCATTAGTTTTGAACACATCTTGCATTTAATATCTTCATCATTTAAAACAAAATTATTTCAGACACAAATACTCTTGGTTATATGAAACTTTATATTGTCGAAGCAATTATACAACAATATGTTGGACTTCTGCTTTGGCTCTGCTCATATGTAGTGTTTGTATGCTTGTTAGCTATGTCTCTTCTGACCATCCGAGGTAAGCCAGATATCCTTCTCATCAAAATTATGTGAGGGTATTTTAAATAAATTTCTAAAAGATCAGCCATGTTCTGTTGTAGGTTGGGTACGTTACCTTTAGAAGCCACATTGGTATTTATTTTGACTATAGTAAATGTTTCTGCTGTTGCTTGGGATAACAAATTGAGACACAATGAAATACCTCTGGGTGTTTCTGCCCTCTTACACAAAGTTAAAGGTAAATTGAGCAAGAAGACTGGGGGTATTAAAGTTCAGTACAAATCCTATTTTATGGACTGAATTGTGTGTGTAATCAAGTTTTTATCACTTTCTCTTATAGAGGCTGTGGAGTGGAGTAACTGGAAGCCTGAAAATTATCCACACCTATGCTCACCACTGTCACCCTGCATAACTCTTCAGTGGACCCATCGTGATGGAAAGCTGGTGAACTTGCCATGGGCCTTGTTAGTTGCTGGGGATGTTGTTGTTATGAGACCTGGTCAACCTGCACCTGGCCCTTGCTCTCCTATTGATGTATGTGCTTGCCTCCTACAAATGACCTATACATTTTATTTAACTTATAAATATATAATTATTATTTTTCAAGGCTGATAGAGATTTACCGAATCTTCAAACTGGAGAACTGTTTAGTCCAGCTCCTAGCAAGAGGACTGAAATATTTTCCCTGCCAACTTCTCGTGCACCTCTCCAAAACGAAGAATATGTACTGAAGCAAACTCCATACATAAATAACTTACGTATTGCTATGGAGCAAGCTCTAAATCGGCCTATCACATATTACAATAGCCAACGGCATAATCTCATGCTTAAATACGTTGAGCTAATTTTTCTACCCACCATACTGGTAAGAAACAAAACAGACAACAATGCCCAGCTGTGAATTTAATGTTCTTTTGTTTTCTAAGTGTCTAAATTTTCATTTTTTAAATTTCTTCTTGCAAATGTTAACTCTCTCTTTCTCTATTTCTAGATACTAGTGCTTCTTGTCAATTTAGTAAGACTTGGATACCTTCATCATTGGGTTTCATCTGGATCATGGATTGAAATGCTTTTGTTACAACCTGTTGCTATTGTGCTTCCTCTTTTACCTTTAGTATTCCCCACAACCTGGCTGCTCTTAAATTGTCTTGGAATGGCTCGTCTACTTGCCATACTAGATCTTTCACCTCATGAAAATAATGTACAGTATATGATATCGATATGACCTTGCTTTTGTAAATTAAATCATATTGCCATTTGTATCTAATTGTACTTTTTTAATTACAGAAGTGTTTAGATCCATTTGAAGATGTTGAAGCTGAACCTCAACAAAACCCATTAAGACTATCATGGCAATCAATTCGTAATCATTTTTCCAGTGTTCTTCTAGGAACTGAGCCAATTCTTTGTCGATCTGCAAACATTTTGCATGTTTTAGGATCTATGACAGTAAGTTTGCACTCATACCACGCTTTATGTTATTTATATTTTGAAAATTTATGGTACGCTGTAAATTGAAATTTTTAGGCTCTTTGTTGCGTGGATAAAAAAGGAATATTGTCCTGGCCCAATCCTACTGCTGAGAAGGTATTTTTTCTACGCAATGCCAGTCCTACATCACATTCATCAAGGTAATATGTTGTTCTCACTTCTATCTATCCATCCATCAAAACCAACAATCAACAGTCAATAATAATCACTTCATATTATTTTTAATGTCATTGTATTTAATTTTCAGTCTTGTCAGTGAAGATGCTGCTCTGTATACTGACACTGGTGCAGTTGCTAACTCAATGGAAGTGGTGGATGCAAACGAAGACACAAAAATAGGTGTTAGCAATAATGGTATGATAGTTAAACAATTGAGTGTACACATCCTAATTTTGGTTGAATTGCTCTGAACATCAGTTACAGCATGGGTAATTAATTGATCATTGACATCTCTTGGTTTTTAAGAATCTTCAACTGTAGCTGAGGTACTTGACCTGACGCATGATCACTCCAGTCCGTTTCGTCTTCAATTTGATGACCACACATGGAAGCAGTATTTATCTTCACTGAAACCCTTGGGTTTGGCAATCCTTCTAAACACTTGCAACATGGCAACCCAGGAACACTATGCTGCTTTTTGTGCACATGTGACATGTGAAGCTCTGCATGATGAAGATCTTGTTCCTGTTACAAATCGCAGGTATTTACTTTGACTTTTTTGCATTTTAGACCATAGCATAGCTGGTCAAATCATGAGCTTTAAATTTGTTTTTGGACTCCATGAAGTCGTCTTATCACAAATCTTATCAGAAGTTAATTCACACATTACATCAGAATTTTAATTTAAAGGTACAGAATTCTTTAAATAGACATCATTTTAAGCTGTTAGGTAAACATTTTCCTCAAATATGAAACTCAGGGTCTTTTGTTGATAGACATTTTTGACAGGAACCATCCTATTGCTGGGGATGCTGCAGCACTTCCTGCAGTCAATAAGTATGATTTTTTTTCCTCTCTCTGGGAAACAGATGGTTGGTTAAAGTAGGGTGGTGGATTGTTTGTATGATGGATTATGGTGTCATTTTCTACATTGGGTTGGTCGGTTTATACTTTTAGATGAGGACTCTGATACATATCAATATCAACTATGTCTTAAATGTTTTCCCTCTATGTTGTGCTTGTGTTTTACAAACGTGCTTCAAGGGTTATGATTATGATGCTTGCTGCTGCTCTCTGGTGTACCCCTTCCTCCAACCTACTGGTCTTGCTTGCAAGTGCTGTGAATGTGCATATGCTCTCACTAGATTTCTTTTATAAAGAAAATGTATATTCCCCTACATCGGGTTGGCCATACTGCTTTGAATTAAAATTCTCAGTCTTGTGTTCTTAAAACCTTCTTTCAATCATGTAACATATTTCAAACTGTGATCTTTATTGTAATTTTTTAAAAATTTCTATGACAATCATTCTAAGAAAGTTTTTGTCTTGGCCTTTCAGACAATGTAAAAGGTAAGCATTTTCTGATCTGACTTAGTACCATCGGTTATTATTAGATTTTCTGTCTATCTGTCTGTCTGTCTCCCACTATAATATTGTCCTTGCTGCTTCTTTTGGTAACATCTTTTCCTGTAGTCTCTTTTTTCTATGCTTAAACATGTTTACCGGTAATTGCCGCATCACCTTAAGCACCACATTTTTGTACATATTTAAAGACAAACAAAGCTTTTGCTCAATCTAAATTTGTTTCATTCTCTCTGTAGCCACACTATAAATAATTTTAGATTGTATGTAAGTTGAATACAACAAAATTTCACCCCTTGTCTTATCTGGTGTCTTTATTGCTGAGTAGCATGTCAGTGATTTTCTAGTTAAGTCTCTAGGAAACTCTTTCTTTCTTTTTATTTTTTTTTAAAAGCTTTTATGTTTTTACATAATTTGTTTGTATTCTTTCAAGGAAAATAGATGTTAATCTATTAGACTTCTGACTTGAGATAGGTGTTTTTTGGTTCTTTGTTTTTAGAAACTCATAGTTGCATATGGTATTGGGGTAGTCTAAATTTATGTTTTGTGTGGGAAATTCTGTGTCCTTACGGAAACTTTAATGTCTATCTTATCTTGTTGATTTTAGGTGCTTGTGTGAGCTGGCTAAGCAAATTGGTTTTGTTGACAAAGCCCAAGATTTGTTTCAACTGCAACAGCAACTATCAACTTTCAGACATGTGGTAAGTCTGGTGAATGTTTACAGGTATAGGTACTATCTACTGATCATGCCTTTTGAAAACTATGAATCAGCCTTAAGTTTCAGTTGGTGCCTAGCTCAATTCCCATTTATTCCTTTATCCTTCTGCAGCAACCAGAATTAGCAAGGCGAGATATTAAGTTTGCACGCTCATTGCCTATTGCTACGAAGCTGAAGTTTCCCTTTCCTCATATGGTGGCAGTAGTTGTTCAGGAACAAACAAGCCATTCACTGCAACTTATGTCCCAAGGTACAGCTGATATTATTTTAGACTCTTGTGTTGAGTATTGGGATGGTCGTGATTTGTGCACACTGTCTCAGTCAGACAGGTAAGACACATTTTATTTTATTACAATTTTGTTATGCTTTCTGTCTTGCATACTTGCTATAATGCTGTTTATCATGCAGGAAGAAAGTTTTGGACTTTTACCAGCGCTCAAGTCTCACAGCATATTGCACTGCATTTGCTTACCGTCCTCTTTCTAGGGCAATAAGTCCTGCCCTTGGAAATGTTTATCTGGAGCTACCAGCAGACAGTCGCCATTTGTATGCTCCTCACAGAAGTCCAACTCCGTTGGCATTGGATAGCAAGTCCAAAGGCCTCCTGGCAAATTTTCAATCAACTGGTAAGGCTTAATTTCTTTTACCTCATTAAAATACCATTAGAATTTTAAATGTTATACATTTTTTTATGCTAACCCATTAGATTCTCTGTTTGGCTATGAGACAAAAGAAACAGAAGTTACCAGTGTGGAAGAATGTTTTGAGTTGCAGTGTAATCAAGTGTTTGTCGGCATGGTCACAATGCAGTACCAAGCACAAATTGATATGGTTTGTCTAAAAATGGTTTCAACATTAAAAAATACTGGGGATTTGATCTTGCCATTTATGTCTATATCCATATCTTGTTCTCTTTTTAAAGGTAAAGCTGATTGAGCAACTGGAAAGAGCTTGTGTACGTTTTGTACATTTTAGTAAAGAAAATGAATTGCGCTCAAGAGTTTTTTCAGAAAAAATGGGATTGGAAAGTGGTTGGAATTGTCATATTTCCCTTCTCAGTGAGCGCAACAGGTACTTTTTCCAATTAGGTTCATTTCTACATTATCATGATTTCTTGCTTGTCTCTTACCCTCAGGGCTTTTTTATTCATTTTTTTCCTAACTTACGACTTTATTTTGTTGTTTGGATAATCTATGGTAAGAATGCTATGGGTATGGTTTTGCTCATTAAAGGGGAGGTCAATTATGGCTTATGTACTGTATTTGTGTATACATTGCCTTCTCTACCTCATTTATATTTTACATCAATCTTTAAATAATCTAATACTATTCTGAAATAAATTTTTCAATGGGTGATATTTGACATTCAATTGATTTGCATTTTATAATTGAATGTTCTGTTTGAATGTGGGTATTTTGGGGTCTTGAGGTTATGCCTATTATTATTATAATTTTAGGAAATAAAATAATATCCTCTACTTTCAGCTTTTGCATTTTGCTGGATTATTGGGAGATAAAAAACCATGGCACATTTTTGTCATCAAGCTGACACTTTTTCTCTGCTCATCAGGTTTCATTCTAACTCTTTGCTGGGCCTTTTGTTTGTCTTCTGTTTTGCTTAATGCTCGCTGGTGTGTGCATGCATGCATGTATGTGTTGTGTGCAGATCAGGCAGTGATACGAGTGATATCAGACCGGGTCCCTCTCGAAACTACTCTAATGCTCGCCTTGCATCCTCGGTCAAGCAACATATCAACTTACCCCTGCAATTTATTCCACCACGGTATGCAATGTTCATTCATTCTCTATGGACTGTTTTTTTATGTCTGGACTGTAGATGTATCATCATTGTTCTATTTTGACTGTATTTTCAGAGTGAACATTGCATGAAAATAAAAGTCACATCTTGTTTGTTCTTTAGCCCATAATTATAAGAAAGTAAAACGTAGATTTTGTTGGAATTACTTTAAATTCTTATCCATTTGGTTTCCTTAAAGTTTTCAATTTTTATTTTTACAGTAGCAATCTTCCAGCATCAAGAACAATGAGTTTGTCAGCACCTAGTGCTATAAATTTAGAACATTCATTTCCTCCAAACCCACCTGACTGGGAAACAAGTAACAACAGGTGTGCATTATTCTAAACTATCTTATCTTTTATCACACTTTTAAAAATAACTGAAATAATATTTTTCATTGTTTTAGGGATGGTTGTGATGATGAAGGTCTTGCTAGCCAAGATAGTGTCGCGTTGAATGAAGGTCAACCAAACCAAGAGGCTTGGCGTTCTCTTAGTTGCCTAACAGATTCCACTGAACAAAGTGCACCAATTAATTTTGATATGTCTAATAGAGTAAGAAATATTCTTAATCTTATAATGTTGGAAGCTCTTTGTTTCTGTTTTGTTTACCTTACACAATTTTTTTCTGCAGGCCAAATTACCTCGTGGAATAGATAAAATACGTCCTCATCTTGAACAAATTGATAATGTTCCCTTACTTGTGTCTCTGTTTACTGATTGTACTCCTGATGCAACTCGTGAAATGTTACATATAATGCAAGAATATGGAGAAGTTGTTTGTGTTCTCGGTTCGGCGGCTAATGCTGAGAACATGGGGATTTTCCTACAGGCAGATGCTAGGTACAGTAATTTCTACTCATATTGCTCATATAACATATTTAATTATTTGTCAAAAATCCCTTTTTTCATTGCAGTATTGCCGTGGAACCATTGTATCCACAAGTTTGTCAGAAAGTTGCGGTATTAAATCCGGTGACAAATGGAAAAGGTCCTGGGCCTACAGATCTCAGTCGTGCTTTGAATTCTGTTGCCTGCTCACTTAGATTTAAAAGAGATAACCCTATTTCACTTTTCCAACTGATAATGGAAGCTCGTCACTTCATGCAATGTGTTTGGAATTGTGTTCAATTCTGGGTCTGCTGTGGCGTTTCCTTAAGCACGCTTCAAACATTGGGAGTGTTCCTAATGCTTCCTCCTCTGTTCACTACTGGTAAGTCCAAATTTTAAATTGTTTGTTTATTCAAGATTTAGATTTTTGATTTATTGCTTATTTGTATTTTAAGGTCAGGTTATGTGGTTTGTGTGTGTCATCATTCCTGTTCTCTCACTATCTCTTGTGGGAAGTCCAATTGACTCTCAAGTAATGCAAAGACCTACCAGTAATAAACAAGGAGCAGTTATATCATCTAAAAGGGTAAGTAGGTAGATCGGTGGAGAACTTTGGTTTCTCTTGGACAGTGCTGCCATTTAATGTTGATTAAAATCTTCAAATCTATTTGTAGGTGGCAATTTTTGTTGTCTGGTGTTATGGGGCAAAATTTTTGCCTACAATTATAGTAGTACTTCTACTGTATGCAGTGACATTGGATTCATTTTGTAAAGAAATGGCTTTGGCACGCAATGAAACTTGTACTATGGTGTATCCTACTGTTGATCCTGATGCTTCTCTGAAATGGGGAGGTTGGGACAATCACTTTTTTGGTTTGTTAATTGCTCAACATTTCTCTGTCATGGTGCTTCTTCTTCATTTTGGTATGTCTGACCATCAGCTTTACTTAGATTGTGTTAGAAAGTGTGCAACTTCTAACTTGTACTTTTTTTTCAGTATGCATTTCCATAAGTTTTGTCCACAGAGAATATTTGTCTTGGCATAAGTGGCCACACAATAATGTTTGGTGGCTGTGTACATCCCTTATTGTGTAAGACAGCTTTGAATTTTCTATTGTTCAAACATTGTTATTTTTGTTACTATCTTATCTGTTATCTATCTTTAACTTACAGGTTGTTAGTTCAAGCAGTATACTCAGTCTTATACTTAGGAGCAATGTCTCTTGACGCTCAAGAAGATGCTTCCATTCTCAATGTCCCTTGGTTAGCAATGGTTTTAGCGCTCATTTCACCTTTTGCCATCTGTGTGATTAATGAATTTGTAAAATGGGAGGAAATAAAGTAAGTACAGGGCCTTTCTTCTTTTTGTGGGGACTGCTTCTTCATCAATTTTTAACGGGCCTTTCTTCATTTTCAGGGCAAATGTGCGTTACCAGAAGAGAGCACGTCTTGAATTTGGGACAAAACTGGGAATGAACTCACCATTTTAAATATTTGGTATTATATCTAAAGCTGTTAGCTGCCAATTTCCTTAATTCATTGTTTCTGTATAACATAATTTTCACTGTTGAAGATGTAGGTTTGTCAGATTATGTGTCATATTAGAAATTTAATCTTGCCGTTTGATATGAAGTATAACTCTTGTGATAGAATGATAATTATTGATTGATGTGTCATATCAATCACAATATTAAGAAGATTTATATCTTTTGTACTTATGCAGATCAACTGAATCAGGGCAGCCAAAGGTATTTTTCATTCATTTTTCTGCTCCAAGCTGAACCATCAAAACAGTTGTTCTGATCTGATGGCTGAACTGTGTACCTTACTTTATCTGTCTTTTTTAATGTGTTTCATTAACATATCATATTAGTCATTACAATTCATGTAAATAGTTGAGTAAATGTTCAGAACAAGCCAAACAAAATAGGGCACTTTTGTGTTCATTGGTCATATTCTTCTTGTTAGTCCAGTATTTGATTATTTTTAAAGTCTTATTGAGATTCTATCTGTATACCAGGTGGCTGATTAAGCCCGCTCACTTTTGTAGTTATGCTGCACCGCACGCACGAGTGCGGGCGGGCTTGCCTATCGCCCCTGTCCACGGCGCCTTACGAGCCGAGCGAGTAGGCAACCCGCCCGTACTCGTGCGTGCGGTACAGCATAACTACAGAAGTGAGCGGGGTTTTTATTTAAATATATACTCTGCCGCATACAGGCGTGCGGGCGGGCTTGCCTACCGTTGCTCACCGTGGTGCCTAGCGCCGTGCGAGTAAGCAACCCGCCCACAGATGTAGATACAGCACAAGGAAAAAAAAGGAAGTGATATGTGGTCTACGGGACACCCTGTATTGTGGACTTACCATACCAATATTGTTTAGCGAGCATTTGTCAATTCTTATCTGGCACTATATAAGTTATTTCTGATTATTGTCCTCCCTTTCTTCCGTGACTGAGTGTAAATCTATTCAGTAGAGTTTATCACCACAAAGTACAAAACTGACAAAAGGTGGCCCTCCAACGGAACAAGGCATCCATCACCCATCATCTCAGGTTTTGTGTTTTGTCATGGAGCATGTGTTTGCTAAATGTAAATTGGTAGTTCAGTATTGCAATAAATATGTTTCCACAAATTATGAGGGCATTTTGGTGCCTCTTTGATGGACCCATCAGGACCGATCATTTATGATCAGATCAGTATAGTATGGTACGTTTATCGAATAATTTTGTTTACCATAAATTTGCATTTAGCAAACCTGTGTTGAATTAGTAATGACAAAACCTTGAGTGATGGGTGATTGGTTTCTGGTTCTATTGGAGGGCTGCCCAAAGATTGTTCATAGTAATGTGTTCCTATAAAGTTATGTAACAATATTTTGTTGTGTTTCAGTTTAGACTTTAACTTATCAATTTATTTAATTTAAACAGCAAAACTTGTGTTGTATTGGATTTTTCTGATATTTCTTTATGGCTGCTTATGTTGTTTTTCATTGATATTAGACCAAGCACCAGCTATAGCTGAACTAGTATTTTGCTTTTCACAACTTTGATATTGGAAACATTCTTCCAGCAACTTGTGTCAGATAAATGGCAAGACCTAGTGCAGTGAGTAGGTAACTTATTATATAGGAAGTTGTGGTTTGCAATTTCCAAAATATGTTGCTATTGTCTTCATGATCTCAATGATATGTAAAAAACTAGTAGACCTGTCCGCTTATTATTTAAAGTTCAGCCCTTCAGTTTTTTTTTGTTTTTTTTTAAATATTCACATGCCTGCTTCCATTATATTTTTTGATTTTGCATTCCAAAATTTTATTTGCTTTAATTGTGAAAGCTTTTTAAATGCTGTTTTCATTCCGACTCCTGTGTTGTTTTTTTTAGTGCTGAAAAAACCTTTACAGCTGCAGTATAGTCTCAGTTTGTGTGTTCATCTTCCCTTACATATTAAAAAGAACAAGGTGATAATAATAATAATAAAAATATAAATTGTATTGTAACAAGTGTATGAATTCGTCATCTCCTTTGTGCGCCGGTGCCGGAGACTTGTTTTGACACCTGTTCCGTTATGACGCAGTGCAGAGTGTCGACGCAGCGGGGAGTAGGTAGGTCTGGCCCATGTGCCTGCTCCTACTGCGACACGACCAAACAAGTAGGAGAACAAGGACCGCGATTGCAGCGCGTTTACTGCACCGAGATGTACCCCCCCCCCCTGCTTCCTCTTACTCTCCTGACGGGGTAGGGTGGTGTTCGGCGGAGGAAAGGGTACAGGCAGGACACATGTGCGGGCAGAACCCTTGCTATTTGTGTCCCCGCGCGGCCCGGCTGGCGCTCTCTGACGAGGTCAATCCTCTGCCGGGAGGGGGG